AGAGCAGGAATGGCAACCAATGGCTGCAGCACCACAATTCTCCCCCAGCCGTGCCAGAGTTATCAAATAAAAGGGGTCTGGGGTGAAGGGACCTTAAAGCTCATCTCATTCCAACCCTGCCATGGGGACACCTTCCATTGTCCCAGGCTGTCCCAAGCCCTGCCCAACCTGGCCTTGGGCACACCCAGGGACCCAGGGGCAGCCACAGCTGCTCTGGGCACCCTGTGCCAGGGCTCACTCCACCCTCACAGGGAACAATTCCTGCCCAATATCTAAGAATCAATACTTTCAATTTATTTTCCTGGCACACTACCTGGTATCATCAAAGAAAGCAATCTTCATGGCTTGGATGTCCGCATCTGTGTGTGCTTTGGCCAGCACAGTCACGCCTCCACCATGGGTCACCTGAGCAGTGTTCCACACCACCACCATCTGAAACAAAAAAATATGATGGGAGAGCTGCTCAAAACCTTGGCAGCACAAGAGCTTTTCATCCCACAGCTGCTCCAGAGCTGGGCACAAAGTATTGATAACAGAGCTGGAGCAGGGAAATAAAACCCATTGCACAGAGGGTTTAGGACAGTCCAACAGCTTTGCAAAGCTTCATGGCAATATCCTTTTCTGCAATTCATAATTACAGGTTCTAAATCCCAGGGCTGCCTGGCAACAGGGCTCAGACTTGGAGAGAAAATCCACAGAGCAGTGGGAACTCTGCCTGCTGGGATACAGAAGCAGTCCCAGGGCTGGGGGAACAGGAGGCAGCATGTGTCCGCTGCTCAGGACAGCTCTGTGTGCCCTCAGTGCCCATCACCAGGGGCAAGAGTCAAACCCTCTGCCCAGAGCAATCAGAAATGCAGGAGGATGCTCTGCACTCCAGCACCGTGTTAAAACCAAACCCAGCAGCACCTCAGAGGCTGGCATGGGCTGAGGCATCACTCTGGGGGAGATACTCCCCCAGCACCCCCATTCTCCCACCCAGCTTTCCCCCCACTGATCCCACCTCCCCAGCTCCCACACAGATCACAGAACACTGCCACGTGCTGGGAAAAACACAGAGCACTGTGTGGCTTCTCCTTCACTTAGTGATGGCACAGCTAATTGCTGATGGTCGTCACTGAAGGATAAAAAACAGTTCCACTGACAAAACAAAACCCCCAGTCCCATGGAACAAGTTTATTTTTGACTGCTCCACGTGGGATCTGCGTCATCCCCAGCTACAAAGCTGGGTGGCAGCTCCAGTGCCTGGCATCCCTTCCCACAGTCATGCCTGGAGCTGGAAGATTTCACCTCACATCTTGCCCTAAATGCTATTAAAAAAACGATATAATCCCATCACCCTGCCTGGCTCCTAGCTGGGACCATTCCAGGGATAGAACAGCCCCAAAGCACTACCCCAGCATGTCTCTCCAGCTGCTTCCAAAAGGATTTGTTCACTTGCAGCTGAGGAACACTCACAAGCATCAGGCAGAGGGAAAGTATTCTCCAGGCAGCTAATGAGACAGGGATGTCCCCCAAGAACATTTCTAGGAAAGCTGAGAGCAGGGGTTTGCCTGGAAAATAACTACAGAATTTAGGAGAACAGCTCTCCCAGGGAAACCTCCCAGCCTGTGTCAGCTCTCACCGTTTTGCTGTGCACGTCCTTCCCCACACCACACAGAACAGCTCCACTGTGGGAAAAGCTGCAGGAAGAGACACCTGGTGAAAAACAGCTCCTTGTACCCTGGGTTCATCCTCACAGGGCATGAAAGGGGACAAGCAGTGGGGAGACAGCAAGGGCTGAGGGATAAGCTCAGCACAGAGGTGGCAGCACATCCAGGCCAGCCACCAGCAGGTTCAGTGACAAACACAGGCAGCTGTAATTCATTGTTGGGGAAGTTGAAACAGGAAAGCCTTATAAATATGATTGCCTGGCAAAAGATTTTGAGAATATGGAAACTATAAGCGAGATTGAAATGAAAGTAAGCTTTGAGATCCCTCAGTTACTGAACAACTGGAAAACAATGGTGTGGCTGGCTGAAGGTGATCCCCTTTTGATGGAACAACACCCTCTGCTTGCAGACAGGCCCAAGGGTCAGAGCAGACCCTACAGCTTGGCAGAAGGGGCCCAAAGAGGAGTTTACAGGTTTAAAATGTAACACAGTATAGTAATGTAATGATTCTTATAGGCTGTATGGAAATGCTGTAGGATTTGTATATCGTACTAGATTGGTTAGTGAGAATTAAAATATTCAACACAGAAGATGATTTATTGTATTGCAACAGGAACTTTGCTGTCTTAGCTCTTACTCTTACCTCTTGCCTCTTACTCTCTCACCCTCTCTCCCCCTCTCTTCTCTCAGCCTGCTCTGAGCTGTGTTTGGCAGCTCCCAGCAGGGCCCTGCCCCAGGCCCTTTGCAATAAACCCCAAGTTCCTGACCTGGCTGCAGAGATCTCTGCTCTCCATCTGTCCCGACTGTGCTACCCCCATCAATCCTACATCCATGCCAGGAACAGCTGCTGTGCTGCACTGCTGAGCACCCACCTGAGGGACACCAGGCCATGCAGGTGGGTTTTGAAGAGGCTCAGGCAGGTTCCTGTGGGGAAGTCCCAGAGGCGGCCGAGGCCGCGGGGCCCGGCCTGCGCCGAGGCCAGCACGGAGCCGCTGCTGCTGAGGGCCAGCGCCGCCACCTGTGGGGACATGGCCACAGGGGAGCACAGAGAGCCCAGGGGACAGGACAGGGATGGAGCAGGGGGTGTCACTCACCTTGTCTGTGTGGCCAAGGAAGAACCTCTGCTCGCCAGTCTGGAGGAGCAGGGCCACGATGACGGCGTGGCAGGGGTACACCACGGCCGTGCTGTCCCGCGTCCACAGGGCCTGCAGACCCGACACATAGGACACTGTGGGAATGTGCCCCCTTGAGGGAGTGACTAAACTGTCCTCTGTCTCCTTAAAAAGGAAAAAAGCCCAGAAGTTTCTCTCCTCGATTGGGTAAAGACACCTCACAGGACCTGGGGCACTGCACGTCAAACTTAAGGATATCCAACTGGACAGGAGCCAAAAAGTCCCCCCTGAGCAATTTACTAGAAAAAGAAGAGAACAAAGGAACTAATTCCTTTTGTGAGGTGTTTTACTGGGGCAAGGACCTCTTGCACCTGGCTCGGTTTTTCTCAGTAAAGGGCTTGGTTATTTTGCCTTTTCTAAAAACTTTTCTGTTTCCAACACTACCACAGAAGCCATCCTGCTGATTTTATGTCTTCTCAGGTAGCTGAGCTATCCTGGGTGTGAAATAAATCTCCAAAAGCTTATGAGACCCAGCTGGAAGAGACCATATATGAGGACACAGCTCCAGAACCGCCCCACAGCCCAGGCACAGCTCTCCCCAGCCCTGGCAGTGTCCAAGGCTGGGTTGGACAGGGTGTGGAACAACCTGGGCTCGTGGCAGGTGGCCCTGCTCATGGCAGGGGATGGAATGGGATGGGCTTTAAGGTCCCTTCCATACCATTGAACAGCAGATCCAAGGAAAATTACATTGCTAGCAGAACCTTGAAATGACTGAACCAAACCAACCCCTCTTTTATGTTAACACAGACCACAGGCAAGGCCCAGTGTGCCACAGAAACAATCCAAACAAGCCCTTCCTTTCCAGCCTCCAACAAAGCAGCACCAGTTTTAATGTGTTAAAAAGAAGTGTAATCTAGTGAAGGGTCTGGAGAACAAATCTGATGAGAGGCAGCTGGTGGACCTCAGCTTGGACCTTCTGGGTCTCCACAACCCTCTGACAGGAGGGGGCAGCTGGGTGAGGGTCAGGCTCTGCTCCCAGGGAAGAAGGGAGGAAACAGACTCAAGTTTTGCCAGGGGAGGTTTAGATTTGATCATGAGAAAATTTCTTCATTGGAAGGATGGTCAAGCACTGACACAGCTGCCCAGGGCAGTGGTGGAGTCCCCATCCCTGGAGGGATTTAAAAGACATGTGGATATGGCACTTGAGGACATGGGTCAGTGGAAGGCCAGGGATTCCTGGGAAAACCAGCTGGAATTGATGTCCTTAGAGGGCTTTTCCATCCTATAATTCTGTCTAATGGGCCCCATAATTTTTAATTCACCATCCTAACAGCAGAGCAGTTGTCACAGACACTCAGGCTCACCCACTTTGGGATCATTTTCCACATCAAGCAGTGCCACACTCAGCTGCATTTCACACCTCCAAAACATCCATATCCTGGCTACACAGTGACAGATCAACTCCCCAGATCACACAAGCCACTGACCCATTTGGTGCTGCAGCCTCCAAAGCCAATTATTGTTCTCAGCTTCAGAATGGGATCTGGCACAAGCCCCTGGAAAAGAAAACCAGACAGCACCATCATGCCCAGAGCCAGGCTGGGGTCCTCCCTCCATGGGCACCCCTGCCCCAGAGCTTGGCTCTCAGAAACACAGAGACAGCTTTGGGTTGCTCCTGTCAGAGGGAACAACTTGAAAGCATTTAATGTGGCAGAGTCAGAGCTGGCAGCAGGAGGAGCTGGAGTTTCTGAGTTGAGCAGTTCTGCCATCCAGCCCCAGTGATGCCCTGGGGCCACTGTGACAATCCCACACTGGTTTGGGCTGGAAGGGACCTTAAAGTCCCCCTGGCCATGGGCAGGGACACCTTCCACCAGCCCAGGCTGCTCCAAACCCTGTCCAAGCTGGCCTTGGACACCTCCAGGGCTGTCCTGCAGGCTGGGGCTCACCTGTGGGATGGCAAAAGGGCCAGAGCCCTCCTGTACACACCAGGGCAAACCTGGGCTTAAGGTCAGCACATCTGAGCACAGGGTCCCTCTGCCAAGGCAGGGAGAGTGCTAGTGGCAAGAACTGCTCCTCTGCATCTTTGGGACTCCATGAGTTTAACTGAAACCCCAGCATGAACATTGTGGCCCCTCTCTCCTTTCAGTAGAAATAAAGGGAAATACCCCAAAGGAAAACCCCAAAGGCACCTTGTGACCCTCCAGAACTTCACACACCTCCTGTGAGCCCGGGACAGCTCGGGCTGTCTGTCCCCTCCTCTGATGAGCATAGACATGGATGCCACCAGCACTGAGTGGCAGCGGCTGCCTCATGTCCCCTGCACTGTGCAGCTTCTCCTCCAGCACGGGATCTGCAGCAGGCACAGCTCCCCCAGGCCCTGGCACTGCCAGGTGAACCTCAGGGATGCTTTTTGTGACCACAGGACACCGACGTGGCACCTGAGAAAGAGCAAAGCCTCAGACAGAGCTCAGCTCTCCTCCCAGGGCCCTGCACCTGCCCAGGGGCAAGGAGGAAAAATTCTGGAGGGAGAGCAGCCCTGTGGGTACCTGGCTGGGCCAGGTTGTTAACCAGCCCTCTCCTTACACCCCAGCACTGTCTGTGCACAGTTCATCTCCTCCTGACAGCAAACCAGAGCCTTGTCCAAATGCTCCTGGAGCTCTGGCAGGTTTGGGCCACTGCCCTGGGGAGACTGCTCAGTGCCCAACCACCGTCTGGGGGAAGAACCTTTATCTAATATCCATTAAAACCTGCCCTGACACAGCTCCAGCCATTCCCTGGGTCCTGTCCCTGTCACAGGGAGCAGAGATCAGAGCTGCAGCCCCTGACAAGGTCTGCCCTCAGTCTCTTTTTCTCCATCTGATCAAACCAAGTGACTGCTGTACCTCTTACCCTTCCCCTCTAGACCCTTCACCACCCTCACAGCCATCCTTTGGACACCCTCTAATAAGAGAGGTTGTGCTCCTGTTTCTCCCTTTCAACAGCAGGAGGATGGCTTCCCAACACCCCCCACCACACTGGTGAGCCAGCCTGGACCCCAGATCCCACATCACCCCAGTGGGGAAGCGTCACAGAAAACTTTTATGAAAAATCCTTTCCTTAGGATTTTTCCTCCTGAGAAGCTGAAAGTCCTCAGGAACAAAATGTAAACATTGATTATCTGCTGCTGTGGAATGCAACTGGTGCATCTGTGATTGGCCCATGTTGGATGTTTGTAATTAATGGCTAATCACAGTCAGCTGGCTCAGACAGAGAGCCGAGCCACAAACCTTTGTTATCATTCTTTGCTATCCTATTCTTAGCCAGCCTTCTGATGAAACCTTTTCTTCTATTCTTTTAGTATAGTTTTAATATAATATATATCATAAAATAATAAATCAGCCTTCTGAAACATGGAGTCAGATCCTCATCTCTTCCCTCATCTGAAAACCCCTGTGAACACGGTCACAGGGAAGGGGAAAGCAAACTGAGGGCAGCTGCCTGCAGCCCCAGTAATGCCAGCTCCACACCCTGCTCTGCTCCCTCAGGGCACTGCTCACATTCCTTGGTCTCCACACCTCACTGCCTTATCTATAACTTGAAGCCACACGGATCTGCTGCCTCCACAGAGACAGGGAAGATGGATGTCTGGAGATCCCAAGGTACTTGGCACATCTCCTGTCTGTGCTGCACAACACTGCACCCCCAGGCAGTCACTGCAGGGCTGTGGTCACCAGACCGTGCCTGGAGCAGCTGCCAATGACAACAAGCAGCTTCTATCTCTTAAATTAAGACACAGGGAAAAGCTCCATGGGAAGCAGGAAGGAAGGAGCTGCAGGCTCCTCCACGGTGCACTTACAGCTTTGGGACTGCTCATCTGCTGGACAGGGGGCAGGTCACAGGCTGCTCTGGAGCGTGTCACCAGCTGGGTCGGTGGGTGGCCAGGCTCCTGCAGGACTTGGTCACCTGGACAACACAAGGAGCAGGTGGAGCTCTTTTGGAAACCCAGGGCAGCCAGCTGGGCTGGCACAGCCTTGGCTGCCGTCCCCAGCATTCCCACCTGCCACAGGATGTGGGAAGCTCTTCTGGATGGAGTTGTGCAGCAGCTTAGCCCCCTCAGATGGGAACCTGAGCAGAAGCAGAGGAAGGCACTGTGTCACTGGGATACTGCATTGGCACCTGGCACCTCAGCCTGGCACAGAGGCCTCTTTGCTGTCAAAGAACCCTCCCCTTGTTCCTCATGGCCCTCACAGGGGTACCAAAGGCAGATGGCACTAAGGGTGTCTTTGTAACCAACACCTAAATGCTTGAGGTGAGGGGACCAAAACCCAGCCCAGGTTCACCTGATCTCTCATTCCTTAAGGGGCACTGCCCATCCTGCCCCTCCCAGGGGCACGGGGAGCTCTGGGAGCTGCAGAGGGGTGGGAGCAGCCATACCTGATGTAGTCATAGAGGTCGTGCCACTTCTGCCCCTTGGGCACAGGGAAGGCCAATTCCCGGGGCATGGGAGCCACCCCACGGCAGGACAGGTCACCCAGGCGGGCCCTGGCCAGTGTCACACCTGGCAGGACAGGGACACACACACACACTGAGCTCCCCAAGCCCAGGGAGCTTGAAATCCCTGAGGGATACAGGCACACACCCTTTCCCACCAGAGCAACAAAGAGCACAAGCCTGAGGTTTGCAACAAACCCACATTTCACAGGTGGGTTCCTGCAACTCTGAACCTCCAAAGAAGAACCCAGAGCACAAACCCTTGGGTTTCAGTTATAAACCCCCAGGTTCAAGAATCATGTCATTTCACTGATTCAGCAGCTTCATATGATTTCTCTTAAAGCTCATTGCCCATTTTCTTATTTCCTCCACGAATTTTTTAATTTAGGAAAGTGAAACAGAAAAGGTTTCAAGAAAGGTACAGTAAGTTTCAGGAATTTCAAAGCAGCCCCTATAACTTCTTCCTCACTGATGCTTCCCAGCAGGCCAGGCAGTTCAGACAGAATTCCAGCATGAAAAAGGAAAGAGAGAAAACAAAGGATTTGACCAAAGTACCTCTGCCACACTGAGCAGGTGGATAAAAAAAGCAGGTTGGAAGATTTCTGACACAAAAAAAGCACAGGCTCTTCCAACAGATAAAAGCACAAGTCTTGCAAAAGTGAAGCTTGATGATACCTTTCATTTTCACCCCTGAAAAAATTTCTAACCTTAGAAAGATATTTAACTTTGCTCTTTTCATTCACTTTTACAGCTGGAAAATGAGAGGACACTTTCCTCCAGAGTTTGGGAGACTGTATTCCCTTCCAGATTTCCTTCCAGTGCCTAAAGGGGCTCCAAGAGAGGTTGGGAGGGACTTTGGACAAGGGCCTGGAGGAACAGGACAAAGGGAAATGGCTTCAACTTCCCGGGGGGCGGGGTTGGTTGGGTTTTTGGGAGGGATTTTTTCCTTGGCGGGTTGGGCGGGCCTTGGCCCGGGTGCCCAGAGCAGCTGTGGCTGCCCCTGGATCCCTGGCAGTGCCCAAGGTCAGGCTGGATGGGGCTTGGAAGTGTCCCAAACTTAACATTGTACCAAGTGTTTTGCCTTTTCTGTTCACATCATAGAGCACCAGGGCTCTGCCAGGGCTGCAAACTCAGCTCTGAGCCCCCGTGGTCTCCCCCCAGGCTGGGCTGCAGTCTCAGGAGGCAGCAGAGGCCAGCCCAGGCTCTGGGCTCCTCACCTGGCTCGAAGAGCAGGTCGCTGGTGCAGAGGTTCTTCACAAGCAGGTTGCAGCAGAGTTTGACCCCCCTGAGGTGGCTGTAGCTGCGGGCCAGGTACAGGGCCAGGATGGAGGGCAGGTCCAGCACCAGGCACGTCCAGCGCGCGTCACCCGGGGCTGCTCCGGGCACACCTGGGATAAGAGGCATGGTGGGAAAGAGGCTGCAGACAGGGACCTTGCTGGACAGGAGACACAGGGGTCACAGGGCTCAGCATGAAGTATTTACCAGGCAAGATTCCCACCAGGCCTGTGCCAAGTGGGAAATCATGTCCTGTAGGCTCAGGGATGGGGAAGGATAGACAGGCATCCTACCATCTCCATGGGCTCATGCCTGGCCTGACACTACACCCCCCTGTTTGGGAGAACAGGGATGGGGGACAGCCCAACCAGGAGCTACAGCTCTGACCTGGCTGCAGAGGGGCTCCTGCTCAGGCCCACCAGTGTTATCATAAAATCCTGGAATGGTTTGTGTTGGGAGGGACACCCTTTAAACCCATCTCATTGCATCCCTTTGCCATGGGCAGGCACACATTCCATGCCCAGGTTGCTCCATGCCCCATCCAACCTGGCCTTGGGCCATCCCAGGGATGAGGCAGCCACAGCTTCTCTTCAAACACATCGAGCCACCTTGAGAGCTCAATTTACTCTCTAACAATTAGTTCTGGTGGTGGGGTGCCAGCCCAGCCCCAGCTCCTCACCCCGCCGGGCCGTGCCCTCGCTGGCTGCCCCGCAGACGAAGGGGAACTGGAGCCAGGTGGAGGAGGATTTGAATTCCTTGAAGAGGTTGGAGAAGGAGATGCGAACCACCTGGTTTTCCTGGACAGAGACACACACACGGAGCTTTAGTCACCCTGGTGGCTTCGGCAGGGAAGTGCTGCAGAGGAGGAGGCTTGTGGCCCCGTCTCCTGTCCCCTCCACGTCCCCTGGCCCCGGCAGAGATGCCACCAGGATGGAAGCCACCTCCAGCCCGAAGTGACCCACCAGCAGCAAAGAGCAGCCACATCCTGCAGCCCCCAAGCCCACCAGTGCCACCCCCAGGGCTTCAATCAATGATGGCAGTGTAAGAGGCCACCCTCTGTCACAGACCTCGGTGGTGACATCCAGGTGCACGAGGAAGTGCTTGCGGGGCAGGGGCCTGAAGAGCAGGTAGAGGTAGCGCCCTGTGAGCCCCAGGGACTGTGTCCCTGCCCTGGGCAGCTGCAGGTAGCTGCTGGCTGGGTTGGAGCCTCGGATCCGGTAGATTGTTCCCTTCATCCTCGTGTCCTTTGGAAGGCAGGGAAGGACGGGGGTGGGTCAGCACTGCCCAGCCCTGGCAGTGCCCCCCGCCCCACCCCATGGTGGCCCTGTTACCGTGAGGGCAGCCACGTCCCCCTCCTTGGCAGAGCGCTTCCACTCCTCCACACGGAAGTGCTTGAAGATGTTCAGGTAGGGACGCTGCCAGGCTGCCAGCACCGGGGTCACGGGGGATGGAACCCCACGCCCCACTGCCCCCTGTATGCCCCCAGGTTCCCTGCCCCATTAGCATCCCACTGTCTGTATGTCCTGAGTCTCCCCAGCCTGTGTCAATCTCATGAAGCAAGCCTGGAGATACCCCCATTATCTCTTTACCCCAGTTCCCCCAAGCCCTGGTGACACCCCCAAGCCCCAGAGTCCTGCTGAGAACCCCATTACTCCTCTCCTCCAGCCCCAGGAACGCCCCTGGAACCTCCAAGCCCTGAGCTCCTCCAGCCCCAATGATATCCAGTCCTGACCCTGCCACCCCGGCGCTGTCCCTGTGCCCCCAGCACGGTTACAGACCTGCTCCTGGAATCCCATGCTCCCCATTCTCCCCACCCCCGGTGACAGCCCAGTATCTGCACGTTCCAAGCCTCCCCAGCCCTGATGGCACCCCGTTACCTCCATGTCCAGAGTCCCCATGCCCAGTGACGATGCAGCCCCCAGAACCAGCAACGCCCCTGTGCCCCCCCAGTACCCCCTGCCCAGTGACAGTGCCCCGAGCCCCCAGCCCCAG